GACAAAAATCATCAGGAGACTATGTAAGCAGAAAATGTTTTTACTGCATTCATTTATTCATTCATTTCTGTGTATATGTATGTGGGCATGTATGTGTTGTGGCATGCGTGTGGAGATCACAGCACTAGTTGTAGGAGTCAGTTCTCCCCTTCTACCAAATAGGACCTGGGGATCAAACTCAGGCCATCAGACTTGGTGGCACATGCTTTGACCTGCTGAGCCTGCTCTCTGGCTCCAGAAAATGGTTTCTGAAATAGTTTTAGCTTTTTGGAATTTTCTTTGTAAGAAACAGATTATTTAGTCTGTTAACTTTTCCTGGGGAGACTTTAGCAAATGTCTGTTCACCCTAGATAGGACACCAAAAACAGTCCAAACAAATGATTCCATCCAAGTGTAGCTTGAACCAATGAGTTTAATTTTGATTACTACAGGAGCATGGGCAACTTACAGGCACTACACTCACACCACAAGCTCAACGTCCACACTTTATATATCTTCAGGGAGGATTGGGGCATCATAGGCCCAGCACAGTTGTCTCATGTGCTACCTGAAGAGCCGCTTTGTGAGCCCCCCTATGCACTACTTTGTGACCCTCCCTTCCTAAGGAAGGGATGTTAATGAACCTTATCTTGTGAGGGTCATGTGCCAGTCAGCACAGCTGCTATGATTTCAAGATGAAACAGAGGATAGAGTTCCACAACACTAACTTAAGATAGGTATTCAAATCTGAATAGGAATCAGCAACATTTAAGCTATCATTTAAAAAAATTTAGTGCACAATAGAATTTAGTGAACAAATAAAACTTGTTGGAAATTCCCATTCTCAAATGGGTCACAATTTGGAGTGTTTTGTTCCACAGGAGTTCAGGTAAAACACATTTCAAGTTATTTATTTGATTGATATAACCTGCTCAAAACTGCATGCTCATGCTAAAAGCTATTTACCATATATGGTAACTAAACAACTGGAGACAGCCAACTCCCCGAGGTTAGTTTGAAACACAAGGAGCAGTTCTTATACCTAGTTGGCTGGTTGTGGGGGTCTTCCTCAGAATCCATTCTCAGCATTCTTTTATGTTTTCTTCTTTGGCATTTAGGAAAGCATGCTATAGGTATCTCCTGTTTTTCTTCATTCCTTAATTTCCTCTATCTTTTAAAGTATTATTTGTTTGGTGGGAGTATTTTATTGTTCATTATGCAAACATGTCTTTGCTCTGAACATAACTGGTTTGATGGATGCTCCAGTTCCTCCTCAGACATTTTTCTGCTGTGTATAATGCTTGTTTTGGCATCCTCCAGCAATTTCCCACATTTACTAGGTTACTGCTCTGGCATTTGGACATGCAATCATGTTTGCTCCCTATTTTTCTTTTTTTTTCTTTTTTTTTCTTTCTGTAATCCAGCTCCTATTATAGATTGCTTTAACAATTAATGACTTATCCTAATTATATGGTTATATAGCAGTAAAATTATCTCCAATACATCACTGCCTTTCCTATATGCTCAGTTTTGCCATAGTTTAATAATGTAAGGAACCCTAAAAAGGGGGGAAAAACCCACTACAATAATTAGTTGGACTTCATAAGCTTGTTTAACTTTATTATTTTTATTTTATGTATATGAGTGTATTGCCTGCATGTTTATAAGTGCACCTGTGTCGTGCAATCCCTGCAGAGGTCAGAAGACAGTGTCCAGATCCCCTGGAACTGGAGTTACAGATAGTTGTTAGCCACCATGTGAGTGCTGTGACTCAAACCCAGGTCCTCTGCAAGAGCAGCCAGTACTCTTAACTGCTGAACCATCTTTCCAGCCCCTCAACTTTATTTTTAAAATTTATTTAACTTTTTTATGTGTATGAGTGTTTTGCCAGAAGGTAAATGCACCTGTATGTGCAATGCCCATGAAGGCCAGAAGGGGGCATCAGATCCCCTGGAAGTGGACAGTTGTTAGCTGCCATGTGGATGCTGGGAACCAAACGCAGGTCCTCTGCAAGAGTAGCCAGTGCTCTTAACTGTAGAGCCATCTCTCCAGCCCCCAAGCTTGTTCAGCTTTAAAGACATTGTGATTATTTATTAGAAAGAAGAAACGTTAGAAAAAGGAGTGGCAGGTTTGGAAAAGGAGCTGGCACAAAATAACCCTTCAGAAATGAGTTTTACTGGAATAGAGAACCTCATGACCATGGAGGGCATGGTCAAGCATTATGAGAGACAGTGTATCCGTACATACTATCAGAGACGTTGCAATAGAGCCTTAAATGGAAAGAGTTCAATCCCCAGCACCCACATGGTGGAAAAAGAGAACTGACTCCTGCAAGCTGTCCTGACCTCCATATCTGCACTGTGGCCTGTGGGCACTGCCACCTCCCACAAATAAATAAATGTAATTAGAAAGAAAAAAAAAACTAGAGAGGAGCTTAATTGAGAAAGAGATAGCCACCATAGATATCGGATGGGAGTTAGGGGGCTGCCCAGAGAAGAAAGAGCCTTCAAAGAAAGTCTCCCTCCTCACCCCAACAAAGGAAATTAGAATTTGTAAGTAAGTTATTCTAATGATTTAGTCTGGGATAGCCTATATGACAAGATGCATGGAGGAACTAGGTACTAGATAGGTCTCAGAGTTGCAGAGCGCATAGTGTGATTTCTTCAGGCTGCACCACCCAGTCTCTTAGAGAAACCAATGTTTTAAAGGGGTAGATCCATGATCTAATAAGAAAGTCAAGTGAAAAGCTGATGGTTGTCTAGCCTCATAAATACTTAAGTGTTCAAAGGCTGCTCACAGCTGCTTTCCCTCTCTACCAAGTATGACAGAATGTGGGCTTTGGGTACAATGTAAACATGTTAGGTTAGAGAGTTCCTCTACAGTAAAAACAATGGTGTGTTGTCCAGGAAATTGTGAAATACTTTGTAATGATCTTTAAAGATAGAGTGGACCCCAGTTCATCTGGATTTGTTTAGGTGTGGTCCTGGCCAAAGACAAGGGGAAAGATCAAATAACTTCACGCTTTTTCCATTTAACACACCCAGCAGACTCTTGATTATAGAAGGGAAAATGAGGGCTGCGGGTATAGCTTAGCACTACAGTGCTTGCCTGTCTAGCATGTACAAGGCTCTAGGTGGATCCCTAGTATTGAAAAAGAAACCCAACTAAAACTGAAAAACTAAGGGGGAGATTTCTTTGGCTTGGCATGATGATGCACATCTGTAATCCCAGCACTCAGGAGGCAGAGGCAGAAAGATTGCTGGAAGATCAAGGCCAGCCTCGCCTATGTTCTAGCCAGCCAAGACAACATAAGACTCTGTCTCAAAACAAAATAAAAAAGGGGTTTGGGAAGATGAACAAGCTACAAACCCTGTATTCTAAAACAGCTTTAGGAAACCATTCTAAAAGCATCTTTTTTTGAACTCAAATCTTTATACTCAGCCACATTTACTACTTGGTGAAAAATTGTAAAACGTTCCAGTGCACGGGTTTTGTAGAACAAAAGAAGGAAATGGAATCAAGTGGCCAACACTTGATATTAAAATCGCAACAAGATCCTCCTTACTGTCTTTCTGGTTTTGACTTTTCTGGACAATGTCAAATTAGTTTCAGTGGTTTGATTCTAGTCCAAGAGTCTGGCACAGATTATGGTATTTTGTGCAATTTCATTAGATCTCTCTTTTTCCCCCTCAGGCTGAGGGTAAAAAGCTAGGCTTGGTTGGCTGGGTCCAGAATACTAACCGGGGTACTGTGCAAGGACAACTACAAGGTCCCATCTCCAAGGTGCGCCACATGCAAGAATGGCTTGAGACACAAGGAAGTCCGAAGTCACACATTGACAGAGCCAGCTTCAACAACGAGAAAGCCATTGCAAAGCTCGATTATTCAGATTTCCAAATTGTGAAATAACAACCTAATTTTTAATTGTTCAAGAAAATCTCACTTTTTTATTGATATAGAATTATTCTGTGTTCGATATTAGAATTTGTCAAAAGTTATTTTAGAGGCAGGTATTTGAATGTTACTGTGTATTACATGTATGGTGGAATACAATTGTGTACAATTCTCAATAAAAATGTTAGAAACCTCTGTGTATACTGCTTTAAAAATCTTCACTGAACTTCCTTTTGGGCAAGATGAGGTAGTCAGTCAGTATTGTACCAGGAAGATTTTGAGGCAATTTAAAGCAGTTATTTTGAATCATTAAATTGTTTTCTTCAGTGGACTACACCATAAGAACAAGCACCACCAGTTCAGTTTGTTAGTTCAAATGATGCTTTGAAATAATTCTGTTTTTCTGGAACATCTACTATTATTCCTCGGATAAGAAATTCCCACAAAGTCATGTTTAGGGCTGAATTGTACTTTCCTTCTCCCATTTGTGTGCTGAAGTCCTAACCCACCTCTGAAAGTGACTATTCAGAAGGAAGGCCTTAAAGATGTAATCAAATGAGGCTGTTAGGGTGGGCCCAATCCAATCTGACTGGTGACCTTATACAAGGATGAAATCTGGACACAGGTGTGTGTGCATCAAGACGACGACGCCCCCCCCCCCCCCCCCCAATAAAAGACAGCCCAAGGAGAGGCCTCAGGAGAAATAAATCCGGGCTAACACTATCTCAGACTTCTTGTCCCAGAAATGAAAGTAAATTGTTGCTGCTTAGGACACCCAGCCTGTGGCACCTTGTCACGGAGGCCTAGCAAATAAGGCAGTAATCAGAGTTTTGCTTCATCAGCCCCAGAAATCTGATTTGATTAGTGATTAAATAAATATGCATTTACTGATTTTCAATTTTTTGTCCTAAGTTCCATATTTTAAAAAATTTTTATTTTTGTATGTGTATGAGTGTATTGCCTGTATGTATGTGTGTGCACCAGTGTCGTGCAATGCCGTGGATGTCAGAAGAGGGCTTCGGATTCCCCTGGAACTGGACTTAAGGATAGTTAGTAGCCGCCATGTGAGTGCTGTTGCCTAATAATTCCCCAAACAAATTCTCCCTGTGCTCTTAAGAGTTATGGTCTCTCGCAGGCCTGGTACCGCATGCCTTTAGTCCCAGCACGCCGGAGGCAGAGAAGCCATCCTGGTCTCTACATAGTGAGTTCCAGGCCAGCCTGGGCTACAGGGAGACCCTGTCTAAAAAAGACCAAGAAAGAAAAAGACTTGGTCATTGGTCTTATTTCTCAGCTCTGTAAAGCATTAATTCTAAGATGGAAGGCTCTGCATTTATTCTCTGAATGCCTATGATGTCAAGGACTCCCACCAGGATACAGCAGTAAACAAATCAAATCCCTGCCCTCATATAGTTTACAGTCTAGTGAGGAAAGGCTTACACAATTACGTCAAATAGATGGTGAACTAAGTATTAGTATATGCAAAGGGGAAGAGAATATGAAAAGGACAAAAATCAGTAAAAACAGTTTTTTACGCCACACCAAAAGGTACCAGGCTGGAGTGTAAACTGGAGGTAGCCCTCTAAAGAGATGCAGACAGCAAGGGTTCCCAGCCGGTGATACCCGGCGCCTGCGCACTACGACATCACGTGCCGAAGCGTGCTCGCGGGGTCTAAAAGCGCATGCTCCAGTCTCGTGCTCGCGGGCGCTCGGGCGCGCGTGACCAGGCTCCGAGGCTGTTGGTGTCTGAGAGTTGGTGAAGGAAATTCGAGGTGACTTGGGGGAAAGCACGTGACGAAAAGGATGGTCCCGGGAGCTCTTGTAACTCCAGAAGGGCAGTAGTGACGGCCGCGGGCCTGTCCGGAGGAGACCCGGGCGCCCGGGCCGGGCCGGAAGGAGGAACCGCGGGACGGGGCGTGGGGGCGGGGCCGCCTTGATGACTAGGCCTTAAGAAGACTGCAGTGAAAGCAGAATGCTTACATTCACCACCCCCCAAAAAACCAATTTGCTATGGTTTGCTAAGTTCATTATCTTACAAAGCACCTGAAGTTCTGATAGCTCCAGGTTTGTAAAACCAGCGCTACGACCCTAGAAGCTTTGTTGTTGTTGATGTTTTGCCTTTCTGAGACAGGGTCTCCCTGTAGTGGGGCTGGCCTGGAACTCACAGAGATCCGCCTGTCTGCCTCCGCCTACCAAGGGCTGGCATTAAAGGTGAGCGCCACCACACCAGGCATTATCGACCTTAGAATCTTACGATTTATTTGTAAGAAAACGAAAACTTGATTTGCAAGAAAACTTGAAATCAGGTTCAGAAAACCTCATACTATCATTATTGCCAAGGTAGGTTCTGTATAGAGTATCAATACAAACGAGTATCAACAAGGGTGGTCCCAAAACTACCAAAGCAATACCTGGCCATCAAATGGTAAAGAAATTATGTTTCTGGTTCTATTCCTTTATAGGCAAAGGAATTTTCCTGCCTTATCCTTTCCCATCCCAGCTTCCTTCCCCTGAGTAATCTTGATAATACCCATCTCTTAACACACGTCTCTCCTTGATATATTTTTTTTTAATATTTTTATTTTATGTGTATGCGTGTATTGCCTGCATGTAGGTAAGTGCACCGGTGTCGTGCAATGCTCGCGGAAGACAGAAGAGGCTGTCCTATCCCCTGGAAGTGGAGTATTACGGACAGTTGTTAGCTGCCATGTGGGTGCTGGGATTTGAACTCAGGTTTTCTGCAAGAATAGTCAGTGTTCTTAACTGCTGAGCTATCTCTCCAGCCCCGATGTTTTAACTTTTAATTTCATCCTTGTTTCACCTTCCTACTTACAGCATCTTAGCCCATCACTGTAAGTTTTTCTAAAACTCATGATTATTGTGCAATATATAAATGTTATGAAACTAACTTGGACTTTTTTTCATGAATAATTTCTAGCTAATGTTTCTTAGCTGAATTTAGTTTAGGCATCTGTTTTTGGTGAAGTGGTTAGAATTTCAAATACTGTCTTTATGGGTCAAAATCAAGTGTAATTATGATTTCACTTTAGGGCATTTGGGATTTAGAAAGGAGCAATGAAAATTATGAAATTGTAAATGTTTCTTTGGAATTTAAGTCCATTGCACCAGGCATAAGTTGTATGCTGTGCTTAGAAATCAAAAGTATACTTTTGTATCATATTTTGGTTTAGCATTTCATTTACCCCAACTACTTGAGAGAAGTGGGTAATGCTGTATAACTCTGAACTTTGATAGAGTATGTGTTTTCTTCCCATAGGTAATTATTTCCAGTTCCAGTGAGAGAAGGAAGCTAGTACCTGGTATTCTTACCACATTTCTACCTGCCATGATCAAGTGTTTGTCAGATGAAGTACAAGCCAAATTGCGATCTGGTTTGGCCATAAACTCCTTAGGACAGTGTGTTGAGGAACTTACCCTCAACAGTATTGATGCTGAAGCAAAATGTGTGGCCATCAGAGTGAATATGGAAACATTCCAAGTTCAAGTGATAGACAATGGATTTGGGATGGGAAGTGATGATATAGATAAGGTGGGAAATCGTTATTTCACTAGTAAATGCAACTCAGCACAGGACTTGGAGAACCTAAGGTTTTATGGTTTCCGAGGAGAGGCCTTGGCAAGTATTGCTGACATGGCCAGTGCAGTGGAAATTTCATCCAAGAAAAACAGGACAATGAAAACCTTTAAGAAAGTGTTTCAGAATGGAAAAGCCCTAAAAGCTTGCGAAGCTGATCTGACTCGACCAAGTGCGGGGACAACAATAACAGTCTATAACCTATTTTACCAGTTGCCTGTAAGGAGGAAAAGCATGGATCCTAGGCTGGAGTTTGAGAAGGTTAGACAGAGGATAGAAGCGCTCTCTCTCATGCACCCTTCCATTTCTTTCTCTTTGAGAAATGATGTTTCTGGTTCTATGGTTCTTCAGCTTCCTAAAACCAAAGACATATGTTCCCGATTTAGTCAAATTTATGGATTGGGCAAGTCTCAAAAGTTAAGGGACATATATTTTAAATATAAGGAGTTTGAGTTTAGTGGCTATATCAGCTCTGAAGCACACTACAGTAAGAATATGCAGTTTTTGTTTGTGAACAGAAGACTAGTTTTAAAGACAAAGTTGCATAAACTCATTGATTTTCTATTAAGAAAAGAAAGTATTATATGCAGGCCAAAGAATGGCTCTGCCAGTAGTAGGCAAATGAATTCAAGTCCTCGGCATCGGTCTACCCCAGAACTCCATGGGATATACGTAATCAATGTGCAGTGCCAATTCTGTGATTATGATGTGTGCCTGGAGCCAGCCAAAACTCTGATTGAGTTTCAGAACTGGGATACTCTCTTGGTTTGTATTCAGGAAGGAGTGAAAACATTTTTAAAGCAGGAAAACTTATTTGTGGAATTATCAGGTGAAGATATTAAGGAATTTAGTGAAGATAGTGATTTTCATTTATTTGGTGCTGCTCTTCAGAAGCATATATCCACTCATGAGAAGTGTGACCAGAGTTTCCAGGAAGCATGTAATAATATTTTGGATTCCTATGAAATGTTTAATTTGCAGTCAAAAGCTGTGAAAAGAAAATGTGGCATAAAAGATACAAATACCCAGAATTCTAGCAATTCAGAAGCTCTCAGAAAAAGGACAGATGGCCCATTTTTGTTCCCTTATGAATCGGATGGCCAAGACTGTAGTAAAGTGATAGAGTCATCTTTACACAGTAAAGACAGTGCTTGCTTGGAATCTAGGATGCTGGAAGAGGAGATAGTTGAAGCATCACAATCTGGAGAAAATGAGAAACACAAAGCCTCTTGCTTAGAACATAAGTCTTCAGAAAGTCCATGTGGAACCAGTCCAACAATGGTTTCAAGCCCTGTTCAGACACATCATCTCTTTGAGGAGAGTGAGGAAGATCTTGAAATACAGAAAATAAGTACTGCTGTTAATGTCATGGCTGCCAACATCCCCCAGAATAGAGGAATTATAAATCAACTAGAGAAAGCTAAAGATGCTACTGAAGTGGGATGCCAACCTCTGCCTTTTGTGTTGAAAGCACATTGTACTCAGAAAGAGAAGGGAAAGAAAAAAGAGCCTAGTAATTGTGGCAGAGTAAATGTTTTTAGTTATGGACAAGTTAAATTATGCTCCACTGGCTTTATAACTCACATGGTACAAAATGAGCACACTAAATCAACTGAAACAGAACATCCATTTAAAAACTATGTTCGACCTGGTCCTGTAAGTGCCCAAGAAACATTTGGAAATAGAGCACACCATGCAATTGAGGCTCCAGACAACGAAAATTTAACCAGCATTTTAAATAAAGAATCTGCTCAGCTGCCCAACAAAAAGTTTTGCAGAATAAATACAAATTATGGGATTGAGAACAAACCAATAGCAACTGATAAGAATTTTGCTCTTTTTCAGGAAAGTGGTAAAGAATCATACACAGATTTTTTTTTACCTGATACATACTCTTACCCATGGTGTAGCTATGTTTCAAATGGTAGTAAAAAAACAGATAAGGTGATTGGTTCCTCCAAACACATAGTCCACAGGAAGCTAAGCTTGAATTCACAACTAGGATCTTTAGAAAAGTTTAAGAGGCAATATGGGAAAATTAAACATCCTGTAGCTAGAGAAGAGGAAAATGATACTGAAGTCAGGACTTGTCTCAGTCCTCGAGTTGAACCTGACATTTTACTGAAAGACAAGAGCTACTTAGATATGTCTGATGTGTGTAAAATCAATGCTACGAAGCACGGTGATCCAAATGACACTTGCCAACCAGTACGTCCTATCCTGTGCTCAGAGATATTTACATTTTCTGAAGAAGATTGTTTAGAACAACAAATGCCTTGTTTGAGAAAAAGGCCTATCACTCTAGCAGAGTTAGCTCACTGTAACAGAAACCCTTCAGCTGTCGAGAAGTCCCCTGAATCCCTGGCTTCTAAATTATCCAGATTGAAAGGTTCTGAAAAAGAGACTCAGACAGTGGAGATAACAAGTCATATGAATGACCTTCCAAACTCAGATTCCAGTAGGAAAGACAGCAACCCATGCAGTAGACTAAACTTGGATTTTTGTGAGTTATTTCAAAATGAGCATGAAAAAACAGAGAGTGATGTGCTTCTGATACCAGATTCTGTCACCCAGGACAATTCCTTCAATAAAAACAGTGCAGTATGTTCTGACACTATAATGGATAACACCGAGAAGCCAGAAACTCCTTTGCTCTTACCCTCTAATGATTCTAAAATCAGTAAAGATTCAGGTGTTCTTATCAGAGATTCAGAGCAACACATGGGAAGTCCTGACCCTCCCAGTAGAATGGTAACGAGTAGGATAGATGATACCACCGCCAGCCAAAGTGGAATTTGTTCCCAGAGAGAGGACTCTAAAGCAAGGTCTTGTTCAGAGGATGAAGAATCAAATACATACTCTTTGGATTGGCAGCAGCATTTTGATGCAACCCTGGGAAGAATGGTTTACATCAACAGAATGACTGGACTTAGCACATTCATTACTCCTACTAAAGACGTTCAAACTGCTTGCACTAAAGACCTGACGACTGTGGCTGTGGATGTCGTACTTGGGAATGGTGAGTATATAGTAGTCACTGGCTTGAAATGCTTTTGGAGAAGAGAGCCATGATCAAAGAACAAGGTAATCACTGTTCCCACAGATGATCTCAACAGACAGCATTGGAAGGCTAGGGGTTTTGTTTTTGTTTTATTTAGGGTTTTTTTGTTTTTGGGGTTTTTTTGGTGAGGGAGTGTTGAGTCAGTGTCTTGATAGGTAGCCCAGGCTAGCCTCTGACCTCCAACTCTCTTTGTAGCCCATATTAGTCTTGAACTCATGGTAGCCCTACTTCCAAATGCTGGAATGACAAGTGTGTACCGCCACACCCAACTCCCAAAGGTTGATTCTAAAACCTATACTGTGTTTTCTCTTTTTTATTTTTTTGTTAGTTTTTTGAGACAAGGTCTCACTATGTAGTCCCAGCTGGCCTGGAGCTCACTATATATACCAGGCTGGCCTCGCTCTCACAGAGATCCCGCTTTCTCTGCCTCCTGAGTGCTGAGATTAAAAGTGTATCCCACCATACCTGGCAAAATCTATGCTGTGTTTTAAGACATATCAAGATTCTATAGGTCCAACAATATTTAAGTAAAAAAAAAAAATACGGCAAAGACTGATACAGGATATAAATGTATCTACATGTGTCTATAATGTATATATGTATAAGAGGGAGAAATCCCATTTTAGTGAAATGGTACTATTGAGACGATCCACAGTACTTACCTAACTTTATTTTTCCTTTCTTTCCCAAACGTATGTTTACCCTAGAAATTTGTCTTTAAATACATGAAAGCTTCTCTCTGTGGCTCCCAGCCCAATGGCTAGAATGAGTCTATAGTTTTCCAATAAAATCTATAGGTCAGTATAGTAGTATTCTATGAACTTTTTTGCTTCTGGAAAGTAGGATTTGACTGTACATGCCAAGCCGGTATTTTCATAATTATAGTTTTTTAATGTAATTTATTATCATGTATATAGTAATCCACTTGTGTTTCTGATAGAAGAACCTGATGATAATGTAGTTTTTAGATCATACCACAAAGCTACATCAGAGCCTGAACTAGGACTCTGAGTTCTCAGGTCTCAGGAAACATTAAAAGTGACATTGTTTTGGCAGTGTGTTGAGAGCCAGATGTTGGGTGAGGGCAAAGCTGACTCCCATCTGGCTATAATCTTGGCTTTCACTAGGAGTATAAACATTAAACATGCATCCATGTTAAAAGTCTTGAATGCTATAAAAGAATATAAATTGTATGAATATAATTGCAAATTATTTATCCTGGGATGAATATTTCTAGCTGAAGTTTCTGAATTACGTAAGGTTAAATAAATCCTCAGTATTTTTCAGTTTTTTTCCTGTGGAAAAAAATTACTATCATAACTTCCAAAGCATTTGATAGGAGAAAACCCTTTTCCAGTACTGCTCTTGAGACTATCAAGTTGCTCATAAGACATCTCTATGCCTAGGTCATTTTATGTCCTGGTCTGTACTGAATGCTTAGCAGAGGTACATCTTAGGCACCGGCACCTCATCTTCCTGAAATGTAACTGATTCTGATACGGTGCCAAAAAATAACTGGATTACATTCAACTGTGGGATAATTGTTGCCAAAAACAAAGGGGGAAATCTTAGCTTCCATACTCAACATAAACATGCTTCTGTTAAATAAAAATCTAGATGTTTAAAATACTCCAACCCACTTAACTGTCTGGATTGGCATATCTTTAGTGAACTTTTGAAGGCCATGTTTAACTCAAGTTCCAAATGAAAAATATTTTTAGAATAGAAAGAAGTTCATCGAAAAGATGGCTTCTCACACCCTCCTTTCACATGGAGTGCTAATTACCTGTCTGGAAATGGCTCTGTGCAGCAGGACATTAGGACATGGTTGAACCACACGTGAAAATGTAAACATGTAATAAATGACAATGAGATGTTAAGGCTCCTGTAATCTTAGCACGTAGGAGGTGGAGGCCGGAAGCTCTGGAGTCAAGGTCATCTGAAGCTAATAGCGAAGCCAGCTGTCTACATGAAACCCTGTCTTTTAAAAACCCAACTTTTATTGTAGAAAGGTAAATTTAAATAGTAATGTCATGTCCCCAAGCCATGGAAGTTTTTTCTTTAAAAATATCTTTTCTTTCCCCCAGTGCCGGGTCTTAATGCATGTTAACTAAACGTTTTACCGCTGAGCTACATCTCCAGTTCAGTCTTTTCTGAGTTATACAACTTCATCTCATACTTTAAATCTTTGCTAATCTCTTGGTTTAGTTTTTGTCAGACAGATTTACTGTTTTGAAATAATAGCTTCATTATGTTTTGCCCCTATTTAAGACTGTTGAGTGTTGCTTCTAGAACTCAAGTCTGATCATCTTTCAGAAAGATGGTTAGAATTTAGGCCCCATCTTCCCATGCTTTTGGAGTTTGAACAGAGTACTTTCTCATTCCTTCCCCTTTCATGTATTCATTTTACATTTGTTGATTGTTGTTCTAGTTTCTCAATTGCTGTGACAAAATACTCTGACCAACTTGGGGAGGAAAGGGTTTATTTTATCTTACATCTCCCAGGTTGCAGTTCATCAGGGAGCCCCGGGTAGGAATTCAGGGCAGGAACCTGGAGGCGAGAACCGGAGCACAGGCCGTGGAGGAATGCTGCTTACTGGCTTGCTCCCCTGGCCCCTGCCTAGCTTGCTTTCTTACGCAATACAGGCCCACCAGCCCAGGGGTGGCATCACCCACAGTGGGCTGGGCCCTCCCACATCACTCAACAATCAAGAAGATGCCCCACAGACAAGGTCACAGGCCAGTCCTATGAAGGCAATTCCCCAATTGAGGCTCCCTCAACCCAGGTATGTCAAGTTGACACTAAAGCTATCCAGCACAACTTGTCACACTGTAGCAGGCGCTGTCACATTTTAAGTTAACTGTTTTCAACATTTCAGTCTATTAGAGACAGCTGTGTAGCTATACTTACCCGCTATGATGAAATAAATGTTGTAATGGAGACCTGTATTGGGGATAAGAAGCACATAATTTGGGAATTTGTTAAGGCTGCACCAAGTTGTGGGTGGTCATTAAGTACTGCTGTATGTCTAAGTCTAACATAAAGCTTTTCTAGGTAACTACACATTGTAGGATATTAGCATAGCCTTTATCTGCTAGATTTCAGTAGCACATTTACCCAAGATGTGACAAGGAAAAAAATGTCTCGAGCTGTCGCCAACCCTCCCCCCAACACTTCCTCCCTTCTACCATCGAGAATCATGGTGACCCAGGTCTTCACTCTTATCTGGTGTAGATGGATAATGAGACAAATTATTAATATAAATAACCAAGTATTAATTTCATTAAAGAACTTTTGACTCTATATCTAGTGTTTAGTAATCTGCCATATGTCTTCATTTAGCTGGTGGACAAAGATTTTATGTAATTTTTAATTTTTTTTTTGTATGTTGAGTTCAATTTTCTAGGTTTTTCCTTTTTGTTTAGGGTTTCAGTACAGATGTCATCCTTTTAGAAGCGACCTTGTTCTTCCTTTCCTTCCAAGAGCTCGGGAAGAGAGGACGATGCTGAGACAGAATAACAGAGGTGGGCAATAACTGAGGTTGTGGAGACACCTAGTATACACCGTTCCCCTTCTGCAGAAAGTAAAACAGGACTGCATTATGAAGCGTGATCGGTGCCAGCTGTGCCTTAGGAACAGGAACTCCCCACAGCCCTATTCAACAGCAGAACCAAGTAATTCAGTGCATGCATTTAGATCAGAAATTACTTTTCCAGACTTGAGGTCAGTACTGGGTGATTTTGCATAACTGTGGTGTCTTATGATTAGAGAAGTGTTTCTTAGTTTTCAAGATCAAAGTTCTCCATATTACAATAGTTTGATCTTATAAAACTCTTTGAAAAAAGTTAGAGATATCCATTATTTTTCATCCTTAAAGAATATTTTTACCTCAAGGCAGCAAGAAAAATTTTGAACTATAGTTTCTTCCAGACACATATTCTGAATTCTAAACAATTTGGAGCAAACTTATAATGTTAGAAGCAATATAGTCATAACACTAGTTTACAAAGTAACAACCAGTGACTGTCCTAGATTGCTTTTTGTTGCTGTGATGAAACACTGACCAAAAGCAATTTGGAACAGAAAGGGTTTATTTCATCTTACACTTCCAAGACACAGTCCATCTTTGTGGAAACCAAGCAGGTACTCAAGGTAGGAACCTGGAGGTAGGAACTAAATAAAGCAGAGACTGTGGAGGCAGTTGCTTACAGGCTTGCTTCCGCTTGCTTCGTCTTTTTCCCAGTTGTCTCTAGTTTGTGTCAAATCGACAAAAACTAACCGGTACAGTGGCACACACCTTTGATTCCAGCACTGGGGAGGCAGAGGATTTCTGTGACACAGGTCAAGGCCTGCCTGGTCTATATAGTGAGTTCCAGGCTAGTCAAGGCTACAGTGAGACCCTGACTCAAAAAAAAAAAAAGGTAACATCAAAAACAATTAGAGATATAGTACAACAAACTAACAAGCTGTGAACATTTGTAGAATGTAGGAACATGTCTAATCTTTGGTCTTGAGACTACAGTCAGATAGGAGAAGATACTCTTTCCCTGGAGTTCTTACTGCCAACTGTGCCTCTTTGTCCTAGATGCTGTGGGTGCTGCTGTTGGTAGTCAGTCACTTCAGTCTTTGTTTTCAGAATGGGACAATCCAGTATTTGCCCGTTACCCAGAGGTAGGTCTGCAGTACTTCGTACTTTTTTTTTTTCCTGTCATTATAAAATTTGAACTTAATTTCACCTGGGTATGGGCATATATGAGTATATGAATTTGTAATTATGAGTGGAAGCTAGGCATGTTTCCAGATAATTTCCTTGGAAATTGGTTTTTAATGTAGAGAGGAAGAACCAGCATTTTGGAAGGTCAGGAATTTGGGATTTAACACATTTACTCAGTATGTGAACAGTGAATGCATTTACCCTCACAGGGTTGTGATAAGTGTTATCATTAGATAAAGTAGTGATTCTTCTGCTGGAGCAGCTCTGTGGGTCCTGGGTACATGTTCTCTCTCTGGTGTGTTGTCACAGCATATACTGTGTGTGTTAATGAGGGTGGGTAATAGACCAGGACTTGACTACTGATTCTTCACTTATAATGCCTTGAAGGACTTGATCATGGAACACAGACAATTTGTTGTGAAATAATATTGTTGTTTGTCAGTAATTTTGTGTTTATAAACAAAACTTTTTAATTAAGATAAAATTATTCTTAGAGCCTTTTGAACCTATAAGTTTCCTAAATTTATCTTACCTTTAGTAGGTTATATGAAAATGTTTGCTTAATTTTGTTTTTTTCAGTGCTGGGACTTGAAACTAGAGTCTCACACATGCTAGGCAAGCTCGCTATACCACTGAACTATATTCTAAGCCCTGAAAAATAAATATTTTTAAAGGACTTTGAAATCCGTGTAAAACAGTTCTACAGACATAAGGATTAGAATTTCAGTGATGGTTTTGATGGGTCTTTCTAGGTTGCTGTTGATGTCAGCAGTGGCCAGGCGGAGAGCTTAGCAGTGAAAATTCACAACATACTATATCCCTATCGTTTCACCAAAGACATGATTCATTCAGTGCAGGTAAAACCAACTTTTAAATCTATGTGATGCCCAAGCTAAACTCACTTTTTTTTTTTTTCGGTCTTTTTGAGACAGGGTCTCTCTGTAGCCCCAGCTGTCCTGGAACTCACTATATAGACCAGGCTGGCCTGGAACTCACAGAGATCCGCCCGCCTCTGCCTCCTGAGTGCTGGGATTAAAGGTGTGCACCACCACGCCTGGCTATTTTTTATTTATTATTTTTCTTTTCTGTGTATGGGTGTATTGTCTGCATGTAGGTAAGTGCACCCATGTCGTGCAATGCCCTTGGAGGTCAGAAGAGGCTGTTGGATCCCCTGGGACTGAAGTTACAGACAGTTGTTAGCTGCCATGTGGGTGCTGGGATTCGAACCTGGGTCTTCTGCAAGAACAACCAGTGTTCTTAACCTCTGAGCCATCTCTTCAGCCCCTTCATTTATTTATTTTTTTTATTGTATGTGTTTGAGTGTATTGCCTACATGTATGTAAGTGCACCGGTGTTGTGCACTCCCTGTTTAGGTCACCAGACAGCATCGGATCCCCTGGAACTGGAGTTACAGACAGTTGTTAGACAGCTTGTGCGTTCTGGGAACTGAACCTGAGTCCTCTAGAAGAGCAGCCAGTGGTCTTAATCGCAGAGCCATCTTTCCAGCCCCAGAGCACTTTTTTTTTTTTTTTTTTTTTTTTTTTTTTTTTTTTTGGTCTTTTTGAGACAGGGTCTCCTTGTAGCCCCAGCTGTCCTGGAACTCACCATGTAGACCAGGCTGGCCTTGATCTCACAGAGATCTGCTTGCCTCTGCCTCCTGAGTGCTGGGATTAAAGGCATGCGCCACCATGCCCGGCTATGTTTTTTGTTTTTAATCTTATTGGAACCTTGAACTTCTTTTTGAGACAAGGTCTCCAGATAGCCACAGCTGCCCAGGAACTCTATGTAGACCAGGCTGGCCTTGATCTCACAGAGATCTGCTTGCCTCTGCCTCCTGAGTGCTAGGGTTAAAGGCATTTGCCACCACTCCAGGTGGAGCCTTTAACTTTTATTGTCAGAAGAAAAGCAAGAGACTAGTTGTCATTGCAAAGAAAGAATGTCCTTAATAGTGTGAGCAGATTTGGAGGAAGATAAATTATGAATTCAATTTATAATACTGAGATTTGTTAACATTTCTGCAGAGGATTATATTTGGACTTTACATTTTACAACAACGTAACAAATACTAACAAATCATTTATAAAACAACATTGTCCCTAACTGTAAAAATACTCTTTTTTTTTCAAATAACCCTCTATTGTGTGGGGCTATAAAGGCTTAAGAACCCACTGTTGAGGAGTGCATTAACAAAGGGACCTACATAGCGAGTTCCAGGCCAGCCTACATAATGAGACCTTGTCTCAAAAAAAAAGGGAGTCATGCTGCTCCAAAGTCTTGATATTTCTGTCTTAGCTGCCATGATCTGTCATCTGCTGTGCTCCCTTTCCTGTCCTCCTTCCACCCCACTTGCGCACCCTCTGCTTCCCTAGGAACTCTCTTGTATTCAGCAGGACCTTTATTTTATTACATTTCTTGGGAGGAGGCATACATATGGAGGTCAGAAGATAGCTTGCAGGATTCAGTTCTCTCCACTAAGGATCACACTCAGGTTGTCAGGCTTGCTCAAGCACCTTTACCTCTTTCTATGCAGATAAGCCTTTGCTAATTTTTATTTAGTGTTGCATTATTTATCTGAATAAATAACAGGTTCTCCAGCAAGTGGATAACAAGTTTATTGCCTGTTTAATGAGCACTAAGACGGAAGAGAAAGGCAAAGCAGGTAAGCATGGAGTTTAGCTTTGATAAGTCATCTAGTGCTATGATAATTACGTTTTTAAGTACTTTTGGGATACAGTGTAATTTCAATGACTTAGATTAAGAAAAAGTGACATAAATTAAAACCATTATGAAGGGGCTGGAGAGATGGCTCAGTGGCTAAGAGGGAATGAAAATGAGGGTCAACAAAGTGAGAATTTCATCTTTTTACTCTTTAAATATTTTACTTTGTTGACTTTTTAAGTTTTGTGTATGCATGTGTGTCCACAAGTGTGTACATGTGTGCAAGTATGCTTGACTATCATACACTGCGGTTACAGGTGAAGGCCACTAGATGTAGATTTTTACATGGGTGCTAGAGATCCAAACTCACCATCTCATGCTTGCATAGCAAGTACTTTACCCACTGAGCCATCTCCCCAATCCCATTTTATTTTAGTTTGCTGTTGTTTTTATGCCTATATGTGTGTGCATAAGTGTGTGTACATATGTATGGAGTTCAGAAGACACTCTTGGGAGTCATCTTCAGAATACCATCTACCTCCTTTGAGACAGGATCTTTCATTGGCCTGGAGCTCACCACTGAGGCTACAGCAACTGGCCAGTGAGTCCCAGGGATTCTCCTGTCTCTACCACCCCAGCTCTGAGATTACAATCATGTACCACTATGCTGGACATGTTACATGAGTTCTGGGGATCAGACTCAGGTCTTTGTGCTTACAAGGCAAGTGCTTTACCAGCTGAACTCCCCACCAGTCCCTTTTATAATGTTTTTATATTTTTCTTCTATAGTAACAGGAAGTTTATGTGATGAACCCTGCTAAGTTTATCAGGAGTTATAATCAGTTAGTGGCCTGCTTTAATGAAACAGTAATAGTTTTTATGTAACATTAAATCATTCAACAAATTCTGTTTGAGTGCCTATTGTATGCCAGGAGCTGTACCAGGCCCCAGAGATAGAATGATAGATAAAAATAGATATGCTGGAAAAACAGGTAATCATACCAACACAAAAAAATTTTTTAATATTTTTTTATGTATGAGTGTATTGCCTGCATGTGTGTAAGTGCACCCTATGTGTTCAGTGCCCACAGAGGCCAGAAGAGGGCGATGGATCCCCTGGAACTGGAGTTACAGGTGGTTGTTAGCTGCCATGTGGGTCCTAGGAACCAAACCCAGGTCCTCTGCAAGAGCAGCTGGTGCTCTTAAACACTGAACCATCTCTTTAGCCGCCAGCACATAAACTTTTAACTGTAACTTGTACAGAGAAGTAGAAGGTACTCTAGTAACTGATGTTAGATTTAATCTTGTCAGGAGGTCAGCAAAAGGTTCTTGGTAAAATGAGTTCTGAAGTATGAGTATGTCAAATAAGACAGCGAGTAAGTGACTTGTAATGTCCTCCTTCATCAGGTGGCAGCAGGACAGTAAAGCTGGAGATAAAGCTGGGAAGAACTAAGAGCCAGATCTTAAATTTCACTTACAGGTTTTGCTTTGTCCCAACACTAACTCAAAACAATCAAAAGCTTTCTGTTTTTCATTGGTACTTTTTTTTTTTTCTTTTTTTCTTTTTCTGTTTTTGGACTGGCAAATATCACATCATGTTGCGTTTTATTATTATTATTATTATTGAAACAGGGTCTTATTATGGACTGTGAGTTGGGATGAGTTCCAGGCCAGCCTTTGTAGGCCTGGTCACTTGTGTAGACCAGGCTGGCCTCACAGAGAGCTGCCTGCCTCTGCCTTTAGAGTGCTGGGATTAAAGGCTTACACCACCATGCCCAGCCTTTCATGTTGCATTTTAAAAGAACTGTGATAGTTACAGTATAGAGAATGCACTGTGAGTTGGGATGAGTTCCAGGAACTCCAGAGAGGCTCTTAGGAACGTATTGTATTATCTACGAAATGATGGCTAGCTAGGACCTTGGCAGCCTAGGGAAAAGTGAAAGCATTGGAACTGGGTGTGGTCTCATATGCATACAATCCCAGTACTGAAAGAGGCAGGGCTTCTGTGTCAGACCTTATCTCTAATAAACAAACAAACAGAAAAGGGTGAATGCATTAGGAAAACACTTAGGAGATATACACAGGGCTTGGTAGTGAATTGGTATGAAGGAGGTGTAATAAACATTGACTCCTAGTTTTCTGATTTCCAAGGCCAAGTGGATGATGTTGCAAGACCAGATTAGAGGTGGGGAAGGCTGGGAGGATAAAAGTCATGAGCTTAATCTAAACTCTCTTTGAAATGTTCAAGAAGAGATGGCAAGAATGTGTTTGGATAGTACAGGTATGGACTAGAGTGTTCTGACCTGGTGATATAAATTTGAGTTGTCAGCATGAAGTTAGTTATTGACGGTGTAAATTTTATCACCTAGAAATGTGAAGAGTGGAAAAAAAGGCCCTAAATCTAGAATAATTCTAACATTTAACAGCTGAGGAGAAAAGGAAACTGAAAAGGAAACCTAGAGAAGGGCAGAAATGAAGACGGCTGTGCCGCAGAACCAGACCTTCATAGCAGATGCTGCTGAGCCGCTGAGTGAGGAAGGCTGCTTAGTAAGGGAAGGCTGCTCAATTTTGTGACAGTGGAGACTTTAGCAAGTGAGAGCTGTTTGAGAGAAGAAATGGGGCAGATGTTGATGGTGCTCATGGGGAAAGACTCAGAAATCCAAGACATGGAAGGGAACAACTGGAGGAGAGTAAGAGACAGCTTTCTTTTAATGAGAGAATCTTGACTGCAATTATAGTTGTCTGCCTTCTTCTGTGGTTTCCCTTCCCTCAGTTTGTTACCCACAGTCAACCAAGGGCAGAAAATACTGTGTGGAAAATTCTAGAAATAAGCAATTTATAAGTTTTAGATTTCACACTATTCTGAGTATTATGATGAAACCTCACTGTGTTCCACCCAGGCTGTGAATTGTGAATTATTCCTTTGCCCAGTATATCCACGCTGTGTACACTACCTATGTGTTAGTAGCTGTTTTTGTTTGTTTCTCTTAGGTTTGTTTGGTTTTTTTTTTTTTTTTGGTCTTTTTGAGACATGGTCTCTCTGTAGCCCCAGCTGGCTGCCTTTGAAGAGATGTTTGAAGTGCAGAGATCTAGAAGGCTGAGTGGTAGAGAACCTGAGTGGCAATGGAAAGTGCTGTGCAGCTCTGTATTTCAAAATATGTTCTGTCAGAATGATCATGAATATGAGACTAGTGGTCTGATTCCCAGTTTTACTATTTTTAGAAAGTTAATTTTTTTTTCTGAATTTTAAAATTATTTGTATGTGTACGTGTGTATATGTGTATATGCATGCAAGTGCTACTGCCTGCATGTGGAGGTCAGAGGACAACTTATGGGAGTCAGTTCTCTCCACTGTGTGGGTCCTTGGAATTGAACTCAGGTCATCAGGCGTGGAACATGTGCTTTTTTCTGCTAAGCCCTCTCTCTGACCTTGAAGTTTTGATTACTTGGAATTCGTTGCTTAACTATTTTAAAAACTATCTTATTTAATATTTTTATTTTATGTGTATTGAGTGTATTGCTTGCATGTGTGTAAGTGTACCCATGTGGTGTATTACCTGCCAAGGTCAGAAGAGGGTGTCAGATCCCCTGGAACTGGAGTTACAGACAGTTGTTAGCTGCCATGTGGGTGCTGGGAATCAAACCCAGGTCCTCTGTAAGAGCAGCCAGTGCTCTTAGCCGCTGAGCCATCTCTCCAGCCCCCTCTGATATTTTTGAGATACCAAAATCTCAAGAGAAGTTTAAGTACAAAATCTGTATCTTCAAAGAAACAAAAGGGACTAATACTTAAACTTCTCTTGAGATTTTATATTATTATAATGAGATTAGTTAGATTCTTCCAAAGAATATATTTAGAATTCCTCTCTGAAAAGAAAACAAAATACAAGATACTCTTAGGGCTGAGGATATAGCTCATTTGGTAGAGGGCTTGCCTAGAATGAATTAAGCTCTAGGTTCAATCTCTAGCCAGCACTGCATAAAACTGAGTATCAACCTTCTTGTAAAGTGACTGCATTCCCCAGCACCTCCTCCTCCCAGGTCCCAGGTTGTGTCTGGCAGTGGCTTCCCTATGCTGGAGACAGGGAGGTTTCTGTCATTTGCAGTTTCTAGTCTTGGGAGGACTGATTTTCAAGAATGGACCCCACCTCCCCTGATGGCCAGCTAAGGTCTTGACTTCGGTCCTGGGCACCCAGACCTTGATGCTGAACCTCTCCCATTCCCAAGTCCCAATGTTTTCCATCATTTTTCTATTACTCTTCTTTAGCCCTAGTGGACCTTCACCTGTGCCCTACAGAAAATGTAAAACAACTAGTTGAACTTCTAGAAATAAAAAATCACAGCCTTGGAACTTAAAAATAAAAAAATAAAAAAGCTTGGATTTGGGGCTGCTGAGATGGCTCAGCAGGTAAAGGTGCTTGCTACCAAGCTTGATGATATGATTTGATCTTGAAATCTGCATGGTGGAAGGAGAGGACTGATTCCTCCAAGATGTTCTCTGACACCCACATGTGTGCTGTGGCATGTACAGACACAGTAAATAAATTAATGAGAAAAAAAATTTCTTTTGGTCTTTTTTTTTAAGAGAAAAAAATTTTAAATCTTGGGCCAGGCATAGTGGCACACGTCCTTAATCCCAGTACTGAGAAAGCAGAGGCAGAAGGCGCTCTGTGAGTTTGAGGCCAGCCTGATGTACATAGTGAGTTCTAGGCCAGCCAGAGTTAAATGGTGAGACCCTTTCTCAAACTACCCCCCAAATAATAAAATTTTAAAAATAAATAAAAATCTTGGATTTTGAACATTAAAACAACAAGAACAAAAACACTAAATATGGAAATGCACATCTGTAACCTTAGCACTTGGAAGGTAGAAACAGGAAGATCAGAAGGTTAAAGACAACCTCAATTAAATTTCAAGTTCAAGGCTAGGCTGGGCTACTGAAGACCCCATCCCACCCCCCAAAAAAAGATTAAGTACATTTTTCTAAAGCCAAATGCAAGTATTTTTATTACCAGACATAATTTTAAAATTTTCAAAGATTTATTTATTTTCACTGTATGAATATTTGCCTGCATGTATGTATTTGCACCACATGCATGCCTGGTGCCTGTAAAGGCCAGAAGATGGCATCAGATCCCATGTAACTAGAGTTACAAATGCTTGTGAGCCACCTTATGGAGGCTGGGAACTGAACCCAGGTCCTCTGCAATTGTTCTTAGCCACTGAGCTGTCTCTCCAGCCCTATTTACATATTGTTAATGAACAAATATATTATTGTTTTAAATTAAAGTGATCAGTAAACCCCAATCTATTGATCAAAAGTAATAAAAATACAAACTTTAAAAAGCAGGGCCGGGCGTGGTGGTGCACGCCTTTAATCCCAGCACTTGGGAGGCAGAGGCAGGCGGGGCTTTGTGAGTTTCAGGGCAGCCGGGGCGACAAGGAGACCCCGTCTCAAAAAAACCAAAAAAAAAAAAAAAAAATTTACACTAGTATGTCATTGAGAATTATGACCGTGAGAAGAGTTCTAAATGGTATGCCTCCTTGCTTGTACTTGAGAATCTAACCCTGTTTCTCAAAAGTGAGGTCTGTAGACAGGATTACCCAGGACTTAGAATTCCTGAACCTTGTGTCCCACACTGTTCACCTCTTGCTCAGATTCTGCATTTGAATTTGCTCCCAGGTGATAGATTCACCCAGGAAAGCTTCTGAAGCCTCAGTCTAAAGCAGCTCCAACTTCAGCCTGTGGGTAGACACAGTGAGAGTCTGTTTTTTTGTAGCCAGGGAAGTAACGGTTTTACATCCTTACATGGTTAGGAAAAAACAAAAGAAGACATTTCTTGACATAGTCAAATTATATGCAGTTATTTCAGTGTCCATAAATAAAACTTTATTGGAACACAGCTGTAGTAGCACAGATCATCTGTGACTACTTTCACTCAAAATGAACAGTACAGTAGTCATGACAGAATCCATTTGTCCTAAAAAGCATAAAATATTTCCTTTCTGCTTCTTTATAGAAAAAATTTCTTGGCCACTTACCTGAAATATACTTCATGCATTTTAGAGTAGCTTGCAAGTCAGGGTTCTCCAATTACAATATGAGTATAGTGTGTTATCTGATACTTCTTTCTTGTATTAAAGTTGAATTAATAAAGCAAAGTCTTGTTTAAATATTAAAAGTTTAGCCTTTTTAAAAAAAATATTATTTTTATTTTGTGTATATGCATGTATTGCCTGCATGTAGGTAAGTGCACCCATGTCATGCAGTGCCCGCGGAGGACAGAAGAGACTGTCAGATCCCCTGGAACTGGAGTTACAAACAATTGTTAGCTGCCATGTAGGTGCTAGGATTTGAACCCAGGTCTTCTGCAAGAACAGTCAGTGTTCTTAACCACTAAGCCATCTCTCCAGCCCTAGCCTTTTATTTTTTATTTTATGTGTATGAGTGTTTTGCCTGAATGTGTGCTAAGTGCACCATGTGCATGCAGTACCCACAGAGACCACAAGAGGGTGTCGAATCCCCTGGAGCTGGAGTTATAGACGATTACTGCCATGTGGGTGCTAAGAACTGAACCCAGGTCCTCTAGAAGATCAGCAAGTACTCTTGACCACTGAGCCATCTCTCTAGTCTCTACCCCTTCACCTTTTTATTAATGAAATATTGATGAATTAGAGTTTTCACCAGGGATAAATTTCATATTATTTTCCTGATAATTTCACTTTTTTAAGAAATAGAAAGTATAATTAATTGTATCTTAAGTTTTTACACTGGTTGTTAAGTGGATTGAATTAAACATTTTTCTCCCTCCATATTTCATGATTATGTTAATCTTGAGAATTTGAAACTCCAGTAACCCCTGATGGTTTTGTAGGTGGAAACCTGCTAATATTGGTGGATCAGCATGCTGCCCATGAACGTGTCCGTTTGGAGCAGCTTCTTACTGGTAAGGATCTGTCTGTAACTAGAGAAGATTTAAGACCCCCAGCACAGTTAATAGTGAATTTTTCTCATTGCAACTTGTGAGGAAGGATGCATTGTATGTTCAGGAGGATCTTTGTGAGTTCGAGGCCAGCCTGGTCTACATAGTGAGTTCAGGGGCTACAAGGAGACCCTGTGTCAAAAAGACAAAAAAAAAAAAAAATAGTTAAACTGAGAGCTGGGCATGGTGGTGCATGCCTTTAATCCCAGCACTTAAGGAAGCCGAGGCAGGCAGATTTCTGAGTTCAAGGTTAGCTTGGTCTACATAGTGAGTTCCAGGTCAGCTGGGGCTACAGGGAGACCCTGTCTCAAAAAAAAAAAGTTGCCAGGTGTGGTGGTACACGCCTTTAATCCCTGCACTCGGGAGGCAGAGGCAGGCAGATCTCTGGGAATTCAAGGCCAGTCTGGTCTCCATAGTGAATCCAGGCCAGCTGGGGCTACAGGGAGATCCTATCTCAAAAAGACCAAAAAAAAAACTAAACTGAAATCCTCCAGTTTGGCTTCTGTTATAACTGAAAGACTGTGGTAGTATGCTTTACTAATTCAGACATGCAGATCTTAATGACATGATCAAAGGCATATTTGCTATATATTTGTTACCTACCCAGAGTCACATAAGATTTGAGCTATTTATTGAGACATTGAGCACAAAGATGTACTTCTCCTATGCCATGTGCTCTCACTGGGCCTTCTTTTGTGGTCCGCCAGGCAGAGACCACTAGCATTCAGAAGGCCCTATAATAGTCCTTTTACTTCAAAATCTCATGTACTTTGGAGCAGGTAGTATAAACAAATTGATCTAATTCTAAAATAAAAGGTGCAGAAGGAAATATGACAAAGTCTCCTCTCTGCCCTCATCTTCCATCCCACATCATTTCTCTCCCTACAGGCAGCCAGTATCAATACTTTTTGTGTGTCTCTTCCCAAAGCCACTATATCTTTTTTAATTTTTATTTTTTAAAATAATTTTTAATGATTTATTTTTATTTGTACAAATGTTTTGATTACCTATGTGTATACTGGTATGTGTATAGTGCATGTGAAGACCAGAAGAGGGCAACTGAGTGGTCATGTAGGTGCTGGGAATCAAACATGGACCTTCTGGAAGAACAGCAAGTGCTCTTAACTCCCAAACCACTTCTCCAGCTTTTTTTTTTTTGGGATTCATCTTTGCCATCATGAGATACTTGTATTCCTCAAGTGATAAGATACCAAGAAAAAATTTATTGTAGAGACAGGCTCTCCCTTAGAAGGTCAAGCTAGCTGTGAACCCTCCATTCTCCTGCCTCAGCTTTCGAAGTGTTGAAATTACAAACATATACCACTATATCTTCTTTAGATTTTCAGGAGAATCTTGATTCTTGTGATCAAGTAATGAAGAGGCTGCTAGGTACAGACCCAGGGTTACTCCGTGAACTAGAATGACAGTAATATCACTACCATTTTCATTTTTCCTTATAAAATGAAGGCCCAAGAGTTTGGAAAGATACAGTGAAAACAGTGATAGAAAGTTAGTTGTTTTGGATAATGACTTAAATTGTAAGATACCCCTTTACTCCTTTCATGGGTGGAACACGATGGTTTACAAACCTGTGGTTGTGACTCTACACAGTAGTTTGCATTGTCTGTAGGATAGGTGCTGAGCCTCATTTAGCAGTAGTAAATCAAGTATCATGGTAAATTCACTAAATATTAAGCTAATGTCTGTTGCAGAAGTGTCTGAATTTTGTGATAATTTTGCACCAAACCCATCTTTATGTGCTTGTGTCCAGTTGTGGTGAGCCTACATAGGTCAAGTTGGTAGAGCACTAAACTTTAATTAAGGTTAATGACAAGAAGAAATCTGGGGAATGAATAGGCCTCTGCAAAACAATGAGGTCAAGGGAATTACATGGCTTCCCTGATATAACAACAATGACTAAAGTGCTTGGCTCTAGTTGTGTGGCAGTTAGGGACTATGGCAAAGAATCCCAGGCCAAGGAGAAACACTTCACAGTGCCAGAAATGAAGAAATCAGCCAGGCGTTGTGGCACATGCCTTTAACCCCAGCACTCAGGAGGCAGAGACAGGCTTATCTCTGTGAGATCGAGGCCAGCCTGGTCTACATAGTCAGTTCTAAGCCAGCTGGGGTTACAAAAATAAAAAAAAAGGCTGGAGAAATGGCTCAGTGGTTAAGAGCACTGACTGCTCTTGCAGAGGACCTAGGTTCAGTTCCCATGGCGTCTAACAACCATCCATAACTCCAGTTCCAGGAGATCTGACGCCGTCTTTTGACCTCCATGGGCATTGTACAACATAGGTGCACTTACATACATGCAAGCAATATACTCATACACGTAAAATAAAAATAAATCATTATGGGGCTGGAGAGATGGCTCAGCAGTTAAGAGCACTGACTGCTCTTGGAGAGGACCTGGGTTCAATTCCCAGCACCCACATGGCGGCTACGAACCATCCTTAACTCCAGTTCCAGGGGAATCTGAAGCCTCTTCTGACCTCTGTGGCATTGCATGACACAGGTGCACTCACATACATGCAAGCAATACATTCATGCACATAAAAATAATAAAACCATTTTTTTAATCTTTTTTTTTTAAAGGCTTGTTCTATTTTAATGACTGAGGCCACTATCTATAGACACAAGAGGGGAGCTTTATTTCTTGGTCTCTTCCTCCTTCTTGACCTGGAGGTGCTCCTCACGGCGTTTGGGTGCTTCCTTGGTCTTAGACCTAAAAATATGGAACACTTCACGAATTTGCGTGTCATCCTTGCGCAGGGGCCATGTTAATCTTCTCTGTATCATTCCAATTTTAGTATATGTGCTGCCGAAGCAAGTACTAATAAATCATTTTTTAAAAGACAAGCAAATAAAAAATATGGTTCATTAAAAACAAATCTGAAGCCAGGCGTGGTGGCGCACACCTGTAGTCCCAGCACTTGGGAAGCAGAGGCAGGTGAATCTCTGTAAGTTTGAGGCCTGTCTGGTCTACATAGTGAGTTCCAGACCAACTGGGGCTACAGGGAAACCCTGTTTCAAAAAGACCAAAAAAAAAAACAAAAAACAAAAAACAAATGTATGCACTGATAAAATAGTTTAGCATGTAAAATATTAGAGTTAATCTCTGGAGCCCACATAAGGGTGGAAGGAGAGAGATGTCTCCCAAAAATTTTCCTCTGACCTCCACACATGTACTGTGACATATATGCATCCCCCTTAACACATCATGCACATTCAAATAGCAAATTTTAAAAAATTTAAAACAAGCTTTGCTAGCTATAGGGTCTGCACCATTTGAAAATATTATTGACAGATTCTTTTCAAAGACTGGGAAACCCTTCTAAAGGAACCAAGAAGCCCTTTTGAGCCATAGGGTTGTGAGGTTCATTGTGCCACATTATGCACCAATGAATTAAGACTACACTTATTAACTACAAGAGCACTCTTGTTCTTCTTGACATAGAGTTAAGTCTTATATTTCCTATTTTGAAAAACTGCTAAATGAATAAAATATCCCTCAGCTGAATATTAGAAATCCACATTCTAGAACTGAACACTACTACTGAGTGCTCGAACGCTGGTTCATGGCCCTGCTTTACCATGCTTCATTTTTTAAAAAATATTTTTTATTTTACTTGTATGCATGTATTGCCTGCGTGTAGGTAAGTGCACCCGTGTCACGCAATGCCCGCGGAGGACAGAAGAGGCTGTGGGATCCCCTGGAATTGGAGTTATGGACAGTTGTTAGCTGCCATGTGGGTGCTGGGATTTGAACCTGGGTCTTCTGCAAGAACAGCCAGTGTTCTCTCTGAGCCGTCTCTCCAGCCATTACCATTTATTTTAACCGGTGTGGAAGACTGCCCTTATTCATGACACATTCATCTCGCTTCCAACAGACTCCTATGAGAAGCAGGCACCACAAGGCTCTGGTCGGAAAAAATTACTATCCTCCATGGTAATTCCACCACTGGAGATCACAGTAACTGAGGAGCAGAGAAGACTTTTACGGTTAGTAGCACTATGAGGCTATAATGCTGGTAGTGTATGTTTCTACATTAATTTTGGGTTGTTTTTTTTTTTTTGCATAAATGTTCCATTTTTCAGAAAAGGAAACTGAGACCAAGAGGGCTGCCTGGCTTATCTAAGGTCTTGAAAACTACTCAGTTGTAGGGCAGGAACTCAAAGCTTGTCTTTCAACTCCAAAAGCCATTCTTCCACTATATCATAGCTATTAAGTATAGGATTGAGTTTCCCTGATAATTTTTTCCAGCAGTTGGCTTAGCACACTCTTTTCATTTCTTGGAATAGTCAAGTGTTTGTGCTGTACTGTGTCTGAAAGCAAAGTTAGAGTAGTAATTGCTTCCATTCTTTCTCTTGGTTCATTCTAGATTCTTCATTACCATAATCTTATTAGGAAGAAAGTGAAACACTAGGATGCCAGGAAGGGGCACATAATGGAGCAAGTCACAAGACAGGTCATTTCACACTTTTGGGCAGTGTAAATTACTGAAAAAGGAAAGGATTGTCTCTCGGTTTTCAGTTTTGGCTATGAGCTACTGCCAATACATCTTTTTTCCCTAGGGCAAGATTTGTATGAGAGGCAGATTTACTTACTTACCATCCCCCACTGCAAACCTGCTACTTTCCCCACCAGTCAGAATGGCTCAGTCCCCTGGGGCTGTTAATTACCTCCCGCTTTTAATGCAGACTCAAAACATTTTCAGAAATCTTTGTGCCAAACTTCTTTAAGTGCAGGCAGTAAGTTAGTAGTTCCTTAGTGAAGAATGAAAATTTAGGAGCAAGATTTAGAAGCAATTTGGTTTTCTCAACAGAAAAACCAGAAGAAAAGGTACTATAAAAGGTACTTTTTGTTTTTTTGGTCTTTTTGAGACAGGGTCTCCCTGTAGCCCCAGCTGTCCTGGAACTCACTATGTAGACCAGGCTGGCCTTGAACTCAGAGATCTGCCTGCCTCTGCCTCCCAGTGCTGGGATTAAAGGCGTGCGCCACCACGCCCGGCTAAAAGGTACTTTTATACTACTGTATAAAAGGAACTATACAGTAGTTCCCACCTTCCATGTGATGGATTTATTCCAGGATCTCCTGTGGATATGTGAAAACGGGTAGTACTGAGCCCTACATAGATATGTATACATTTTCCCTGTGTGTCCTGTAGCATTGCTACATAGTACCAGGGATAGTCTATCTTCTGTGTTTTATGGTCTAGTGCCTCCTCTGCATCACAACTAACACACTATTATGAAATAAAATAAGTATCACTTGAACATAAAACTGCAATACTGAAGCAGTCATCTGATAACCACATGATTAACAGGTATGTATCATATACTAGGTGGATATGCTGAACAAAGGGATAACTCAGTGGAGCAGCATGAGATGTTATCAGGCTACTCAGAACAGCATGCAATTTAAAATTTATGCTGGAGATGTAGCTCATGGTGGAGCTTATGTTTAGCATGTGCAAGGCCCCAATTCAGTCAGAGAGAGAGAGAGAGAGAGAGAACAAGAGAGAATACTGTTTACTTCTGGAATTTGCCATTTAATATTTTTGGATCATGGTCAACTATAAATTCTTAGAGAGTGAAAGTGAATGAAAGAGAATTACTGTAATTGAAAAAGGGAATTTGATAATAAAATCCTAAACACATAAGTGTAAGGAAAACAGTATAACCTTTAAAGGTTATGGCGGCTTTTAAAAACTATCCAGTATTTGGAACTGGTACTGAAATGTCGGTGAAGTAATGCTTTTACATTTGAGGCTGTCTCCTTAGGTGTTACCACAAAAATCTGGATGATCTGGGCCTTGAATTGATCTTTCCAGATGCTAGTGATTCTCTGGTCCTTGTGGGGAAGGTACCACTCTGTTTCGTAGAAAGAGAAGCCAGTGAACTTCGAAGAGGAAGATCTACAGTGACTAAGAGTATTGTGGAGGTAAGAAATATCTTCAATGCCCAGGACATTGCTGGGTCACAATAACCTCTACATTTGTCTTTATTCCGTACACGTTTATGGTATTTGTATTCAGTGTGCCAGATCCTAGAAATTCAAATTAGCTCAAGGTGAGGAGGAAGGAAACAGATAGTTATGGTACAGTGAAGTTTGGATAGTAGATCTATGTTCAGAAAGTGTTAGAGCTATGCATGGTAGAGCATGCTGGTCCTCTCAGTCCTCAGGAGCATCACCAGTTTAAGGCCAATGTGGGTTTCACAGTGAGACTTTATCTCAAAAAACAAAAAAAAAACATCCAACAAAATGGCTCAGCAGGTAAAGACATGTGCTGCCAAGCCTGATAACATGAATTCGATCCCTGGGACCCACATTGGGGAGAACACTTCCACAAATTGTCCTCTGACCTTCAGATGCACATGCATGCATGCATGCGGGCACACACACACACACAAATGATGTAAAAAAAAAAAAAAGTCAAATAAAAATTAAAAGATAGATTTAGTGGCTGAGTCACGATAGGCTGATCTGGGAAGACTGGAGGCATGACGGCTGCTGGAATGAAATAGGACCAAGTAATAGCGGGAATGGAAGAGGGATATTTAAAAGTGACTACTGAAAAAGAGACTGTGAAGATAATAAAGTATTTGAGGCAGGATGAAATCAAGGAAAGACAATATTGTCTAAACTAAGCAAACCTGCAAGCAGGGTGGGACTGATGGGCTGGACAGAGGCTCAGTGGTCAAGAGCACTGGCTGCTCTTCCAAAGGACCCGGGTTCAGTTCCAGCACCCACATGGAGACTAACATCCATCCTTAACTCCAGTTTCAGAGGATCCAAAGCCTTCTTGTATCCTCCTTAGGCATCAAGCATACATGTGGTGCACTTACATACATGCAGGCAGAACACTCATATACATAAAGTAAAAATAAAACATTTTTTAAAAACTTTTTGAAAAAGGGAATGATCAGTAGTAGGAAGTCAGAGTTGCTGTCATGACAGCTTTGTTATATTCTGGAATCATTTCAGGAGGATGGAGTCTGGCAGAAGATGAGCACAGTGGGTCAGCAATGAGTTAAGTGGGGAGTAGGGCCATGTAGATGACTCTGATAACTCTGGCCAGCCTGGTGGCATACATTTGTCATTCCAGCACTCAGGTGCAGCCTGAGAACTGCAAGTTTGAAGCTAGCCTGGGCTACATAGTGAATTCCAAGCCAACCAGCTTAGGTTACATAGGACAGAAAACGCTCTCTCAAAAAAAAGCTGGGAATGTAGGACAATGGTAGAGTGCTTGCCTAGCATGTCCTGAGCCCTAGGTTTGATTTCCTAGCTCTGAAAAGCAAACCCCAGATATCTGGCTGCATACAAAAGAAGGGAGATGGGCAATAGCCGACAGAAGTAGTTGAAGTGTGTATGTGGCAGTCAGGAGGAGGAAGAAACATTTTTTGTTTTAAGATGGAAGAGACCTGAGTGTGTTTGTAGGCTGAGGGTGAGAGGACATTAAAGAGCAAGAGGCACTTCCAGTGCCAGCTGTCTTACCTTGATTTCACCCTTAACAAAATTGCCCTTTGATCTGACAGCCTGGCTTTACTTTTGACAGAACTCTTTTCTGCCCACAGAATTTATTTCTTCTAAGACTCCTACTCCAAATTGTGTTGAATCCAAAAGATAGGATTTGTTAGACTCTCATGTTGTAATTCAATATCTAAAAATTTAACGAGAAAATTATAATAAAAACTTCTCCTGAAATGACTTCAAGGACTACTATTAAAGTGTTTGCTTCGAATTGAAACAAAGCCTATGGTCTCTGAAAATTTGATTAGGAGAGAGTGTTGATTTTGGAAGAATTTTGAGAGGAGGTAGACACACCTAGCAGTTGATAGTTATCAGTATGTCTTTTTTAAAGATCTGTGTTCCAGCCTGATGAATGAGCCTTTTCTAACACTGAAGTTAGCCACAGTAACTGACCCACTGAAACAAGAAATGATCTGAAAATGAGCCCTCTGTGGGCTTATGACTGATGTTAGAACAGAGAAGTTAGGCTCATTTCCATTTGTACTAAGCTTCATCAGGTCAGATGTTGTGAGACATCCTTCTGATTAGGTTTGGTAATATATGTGGCTTTTAAAATATTTACAGTACAGTGTCTTCTACCTAGTTCTCATTTATAAACTTGACAGACTAGAGCATTTGTAGAAAGGAGAGAATTTTCCAAGTTTGATTTAAAAAGAAATCACCCTGTTGTAACCTTAGGAAACTGTTTTATGCAGAGCTATTATCAGAAGTAATGAAGAAATCCTGTGTTTTGTTATAAAGAAATCATTAAGTATACCAAATCTAGAGGCAATTTTTGCCTCCAGAGACTAAACAAATTGGTAGCATTAAATAGTATCAGCTTTAAATTTCTTTTTTTTTTTTAAATTTTTCAGATTATTTAGTATGTGTGTGTTCAGGTTTGTACATGCCACAGTGTACATGTGAAGGTCAAAGGAAATCTTAGTAGAATCTGTTGGGGACCTCTGTTATGCAAAGTAGAAGCCCCTTCACGTCCGGACAGCTCATGCAGCTCGGGATTATGTGCTGGGGCTCCTTTCATAGCAGGGTGCCTTCCTGGCATCTTTCCTGACTCTCCTTTTGAAGTGCCCGCCACAAATGCCATAACATAAACATGGCCTCTGGCTTTAGGAATACCATGCTTTCCTGTGATTTTTCAGGTAGCCAGCAGTCTGGCGGCATGGCAGAAACCCACTTCCATATGTAAATAGAATGCCTCACAAAGTATCTAACAGCCAAAGCTTTTACCACTACCCCCATGGTATAAATATCCCAGTCTTTCTCTCAATATCAGAGAGCTGGGTCGCAGAGCTGCTGAATCACTGAGAGCAGAGACACTTAATAAAGCTGTAACATTGAGACTGAACCGAGTCCCATCTCACTGCCTGCGGTCCAGCCTCTCCGGGGGGCAGCACTCCTCTGTTACCGACTTGCGGACATTCCTAGCTTTCACTGTCCTCGTACTCTTCCTGTGTGGTTCAGTGGCCAGTGGACCTCGCATCCTGAGAAAAGTACACGGGTGAAATAGGGACAAGATTCGGCTGGACAACGCTCCAGTAGCAGAGGAACTTTCACCACCAAAAGCCGCGGCCAGCCACCGCATCCAGGAGACATGAGCCGCAGTGCCATAGAACGCGGCCTGCCGGAGAAGCTTGCGGGGCCAGACCCGCCTTCCTCCAGATGCACGGCGGGGAAGCCTGCGGACCTGCCCTATCATTCGGGAAGTGCAAGCAGGGACCCCGAGAGCCCAGCGCGCACACGCCTATAAGAATCATTTCTCTCCTTCCATCATGTGAATCCTGGAACTTGAAGTCAGGTCATCAGACTTGGCGGCACATGCTTTTGCCTGATAAGCTATCTCACTCTAGCTTTAAGTTTCTTTTGCAAATATCCACAATATCTACAGGAATATAGGTACTAAAAAGTTTACCTCAGAGCCTGGAATGATGGCACATTCCTATAATTCTGGCACAAGGCAGCCTAAGACAGGAAGACTGTAAGTTCAAGACCAGACTGGGCTTCATAGCAAGACTATCTTGAAAGACAAACAGCAACAACAAAAATCTTCCCAAGGGCAAAGATACATGAAGGAGGAAACACTTTTAAAGAGTGCTTTGGAAAATAAGCCTTTAAAAAAAAAAAGATTCATGCCAGGTGTGGTGGCGCATGCCTTTGATCCCAGCACTCGGGAGGCAGAGGCAGGCAGATCTCTGTAAGTTCAAGGCCACCCTGGTCTACATAGTGAATTTCAGGACAGCTGGAGCTACAGGGAGACCCTGTCTCAGACCAAAAAAAAAAAAAAAAATTCATGTGTCTGCAGTGTGTCTGTGTATGCCATTGTGTATACTATGTGTGTGGACGGGTACCCATGGAGGGCAGAAGAGCACATCAGATCCCCTGGAGCTGGAATTACTGGCAGCTCTGAGCCATCCACATGGGTGCTAGGAATAGAACTCAGGTCCTCTGAAACAGCAACAAGAGCTTTCAGCTGCTAAACCATCTCTCTAGTCCTGAAAATAAGCCTTTTGACCTGAAGGGAGTTGTTGGGCAGGGGGAAGCCTTGTGGGAATTAAAATGACTATTTGCTTATGTTTATACTATTTAAACGAGATAGTTCACAGTTGTGCTGATGGGTTTTGTGTATTTATTCTCAGCTTGTGTATATTATACTTAGCCAGGCATGGTGGCGCGCACCTTTAATCCCAGCACTTGGGAGGCAGAGGCAGGCGGATATCTGTGAGTTCAAGGCCAGCCTGGTCTACACAGTGAGTTCCAGGACAGCTGGGGCTACAGGGAGACCCTGTCTCAAAAAGACCAAAAAAAAAAAAAAAAAAAAAAAAAAGGCACAGCTGGCCTGGAACTCACTATGTAGACCAGGTTGGCCTTGAACTAACAGGGATCCACCTGCCTCTGCTTCCCAAATGCTGGGATTAAAGGCCTGCACCAGACACCCAGCTCCTTGCCAGCATTTGTTATCATTTGTGTTTTGTTTTGATGGTAACCATCCTGACTAAAGTGAGATGGATCTCAAAGGAGTTTTAATTTGCATTTCTCTAATAGCTAGGAATGTTGAACACTTTAAAATATTTATTGACCATTTATATTTATTTCTTTGAGAACTGTCTGTTCAATTCATTGGCCCATTTGTTGATTGACAGTTTTGTCTTATGTATGTTTAATTTTTGCAGGGTTTTTGTTGTTTTTAGACAGGGTCCCTCTATGTAGCCCTCTCTGGCCTAGAACTCATTATGTAGATCAGACTGGCCTCACAGAGGTCCGCCTGCCAAGTGCTGGAATTAAAGGTGTGCTCCACCACACTCAGCTAATTTTTTGCATTTTCTGTGTATTCTAGATATTAACCCCTTGTTTGATATATGGCTGGCAGAGATTTTCTCCCACTCTGTAAGCTTTCTCTTCACTCTGATGATAGTTTCTTTTGTTGTATAGATGCTTTTTAATTTCATGTAATCCTTTTTTTTTTTTTTTTTTTTTTTTTTGAACCAGGGTCGCCCTTTAACCCCAGCTGTCCTGGAACCCCCTATGTAGACCAGGCTGGCCTTGAGCTCACAGAGATCTGCCTGCCTCCCGAGTGCTGGGATTAAAGGCATGAGCCACCGCTGTAATCCTATTTCTTAATTCTTGGGGCTATTTCCTGTGCTTCTGATGATGTTTTGTAAACTCTCAAAGGGTAAGTAGAAGAGAACAGTAGATTGATACCTGTTTTCCTTTTGGCTTTATAGGAATTTATTCGAGAACAAGTGGAGGTGAGCTTATTTTCTCTTATTTTGGAGTGTTACACTAAAGTGCCACACAAAGACTTCATTGCCTCATTTCCCTTCTGCTAATAACATAGCTGCTGCAGACCACAGGAGGCATCCAAGGGACATTGCCACTGACTGTCCAGAAGGTATTGGCCTCCCAAGCCTGCCATGGTAAGAGACTGCACAGTGAGCTGCTAAGTCCTGGGTATGCTGAGCCCTGGCAGGGGTATAGTTATTGCACAATGGAATAGGTAAAATGCACGTTTCTGCTCAACTTTTGAAGAATTTAATGTAGGTCAAGAAATTGAATCTACCTTAAAAATTACTTTTCCAAAGTAAAAGGCCAATTCGGACTCCAGTGCAGGCTGACTGAAAAAGAGCAGAGGAACAGGGCCTAGAAGAGGCATTCAGAATTGGGCTCATTACAGGCCAAGGAAGCGGTCTTGGCAGAGCCACATAGGCAGGAGCACATTCTTTACATGAGGAGCAACCAGGAGTACCAAGAAATTAGGCTAGAAAGAAAGACCAGAAACTTAGAAGGTGCCATCATAACCTTTAGATCTGCTATAGAAGGCATTAGAAATAGGGCAGGGCTTCAGTAGGGGAATGTGATGAAACAAGGATGTGGTGTAGGAGGAACTCAGGTTAGAGAAGGTGATGGCTTTGGAACCTCCTGCAACTGTTACCTGATCACAGTAGTGTCTCTGTTCCACTGATACCTCTATTTTATTACTTTCAATCTTTTCACTATCTTCCTCTCCTAGCTTAGTAACCAGGGTCCATCCTTGGTCTGTCTCCTGTAATATCCTAAAGTCCTTTGCCCCTTTATCCTGTTTACCCTTTATAGCTATCCCATCACCAAACTGTATCATTATTGTCTTCAGAATGTATCCTAAATCTGTCATCACTGCAACTCTTGTTCTTGCCTCTGTGGAAGCTTCTGCTCGGCTCCCCACATCCCCTCTGCTGGGCTCCCCACACCTCCTCTGCTGGGCTCCCTACACCCCCTGGCTCCCAAGTCATTCTCCTAGAACTCACAGGAATCTTCATTGTTTTGTTTCTTTTTCAGACAGTCTCCTTTTGTAGCATAGAGTAATCTGGAACTAGCTATATAGACTAGGCTGGCCTCTAACTTGTAGCAATCCTCTTGCCTCCGCCTCCCAAGTGCTGGGATTACAGGTGGGAGCCACCACACCCTTTGAATCTTTTTGAAACATGTCTGTAAGCATGTCATTCCAACAGAAATTCACATTGCATTTACCATTGCTCTTGGCATAAAAATATTTTTTTCTGTTTGATTGATTGAAGCTGTTTCTTTTTTAAAATATTTTATTATTTTTATTTTATGTGTATGCATGTATTGCTTGCATGTAGGTTAAGTGCATCCATGTTGTACAATGCCCGTGAAGAACAGATTCCCTAGAACTGGAGTTACAGACAGTTGTTAGCTGCCATGTGGGTGCTGGGATTTGAACCCAGGTCTTCTGCAAGAATAGTCAATGTTCTTAACCGCTGAGCCATCTCTCCAGCCCCAGAGGCTGAGTTTCTTTCAGCCCAGGCTGGCTTGAACTTGATATGTAACTGAAGATAACCTTGGACTCCAGATCCTCTTGCCTTTACCTCCCAAGTAATAGGATCACAGGTATATGCTAATATACCTGGCAAAACTTTTTAATCCTTACCATAGCCTGCAGCCTAAACTTGAGTTTCATCACACATCACACTCCAGTGTGCTCTTTACGTCTCCAGCCTGCTTTGTTGGTCCTGTCCCTTGGGTTGCTAAACTTCTGACAACTGGACCCTTGCTTTCCTGACCCTCGAATGCCCTTCTGCTCCTTCTTAGTTATGTCTTTAACCCAAGGTCTCAGCTGACATATTCTGCCAAGGAAGCCTTCCCTGACCCTCTAAACTGGATTTGGCTTTCTGTTACACTTTCATATCCTGTTTCATAGCACTTATAATTTAAATTACTTTGATGACTTGTCAGTTGTTTGTCTTGTCTATTAGAGTGTAAGTTTCACTAAGTAGAGACATCTGTCTCATTCACTGTCTGAAAGGGCTCCAATAGAAAGTATACACTTAATTGATATTTATTGACTGAGTGAATTGATGTTAAAGATATGTTCTAACATTATGAGTGTTTAGATTCGGAAGATTATTATGGAAATTGAGAAAAGGGAGAAAATAAAACAGGCATTATAAGAAAACAGTCAGGTTTCTTTTGGACAATCCATGGACTTTCCTGTAACTTCACAAACTCCTAAGTAGGCCAAAATAGAGAAACACCCTGAAAGCAAGATCCTAACAGCTTAAGGAATGCCTCCTCCAGGGATTAGAAGGACACACTCTGTAAGGAAAAGTTTAAACAAGAAGGCAGTCCTGAAGCCTTAGTCTCTTCCATGGCTTTAAGTATCAGTTTCAAGCAGCATTAAAACCACACTAAAGAACTCTTAAGAAATATGTTACTTTTTCTAGATACTCAGTTCTGACCCAGGGTTGGCATTGGTTTGTTACCATGTATACCATAACTTTTATCTCTCTTTCATTTAGGAGCCATTAAGTTTAATGATAGCCTGAGCCTAGAGGAGAGCTATCGCCTTATTGAAGCTCTGTCCTGGTGCCAGCTGCCATTCCAGTGTGCTCATGGGCGACCTTCCATGCTGCCATTAGCTGACCTAGACCACTTGGAGCAGGAAAAACAGGTGCAGTAATGATAGAATCAAGAGGGAACACGGTTTATCTCCTCTTCCTTTTCCAGCTTCTGCTATCTAAATGTAACCTGTCTTTATCCTTTCCAAAACAAGAAAGTTTTGAAAAACAGGCATTATAGGTTTTCATTTAAGGCCTCACCATTTTGTCTTGAAGTTCACATTTAAAATGGAGCTTAGACCAAACTGTCAGATTATCTCCATGATAGCCTCATGGTTTCTAAGCTGAATACAACAAGTACAGACTTACATCTCCTAACATCAGTTGCCTGCTGGCTCTAGGTTTGATAAGATTCTTCCTAGAAGTAGAGAAGGTTGGAAAAAACCCAGCGAGGTCACTGCTGGCAGAACATGGCCAGACCACCTAGTCTCCTGCTGCCCCGAGCTAGAAGGATCTGCTGTTGCAGCTAGCTGTCTCCCAGGATTTCTGGTGTCACAATTTGAGAATCATCGAGCTGGGAGCCAAGCTTTGGAGAGCTCTGCTCTCTCCTTTGGCCCTAATCAGTGAGCAGCACATGAGCAAAGATGTGGCTGGTGCAGTAGAGGTTTACGGCTTAAATTAAGGACATTTTCTATCCTTGTTATAATTTTAAACGACATAGAATATGGGTACATACTAGTGATGTCGGATTGCCATTTTCCAAAATCCTTTTGTTTTGCTTATCTTTCCTGCTAACACTGTAGAGGCTTCTCTTGCATATACTAATGTTTCCTGATCCATCCCATTGATTTTACTCCATTAAAACTCTTTGTTTCCTACAGGAGATAAGAATTTCGGCTTAAAGTTTGCAGTCTCACTACTGCTAACATACTGTTCCTCTCCTGATCTTTTCTGAATTCAGAAGTGAGAAATGTAAACAGATCTGGAGAGCTGTACTTTGGAAATACTTGTATGCCACTTGCTTTTTCTGCTGCTAATGGTATTCTCTGCCTTTTCATAGGTTAAACCCAATCTTGCTAAACTTGGCAAAATGGCCCGGGCGTGGCGTCTCTTTGGACAGGCAGAAGGTTGCAATACGAGGCAGAGCCCGTAACAATACATGCCTCTCTGTGAGCCACCATGAGAACAGAATTACTGATCCTGTAAGGAGCCAAAGGGAATGGCATGCCGCTGAGCAGACTGCGTGAGCAGCAAAGAGTCAGCCCTGCCCTGAGCAGGACTGGCAGGCACATCAGTCCTGGAGCAGATGGTCCCTCTATTTGAATAGCCAGAAGCAATTCGAACCTCATGACACTTCATTCCTTTATATCCATGGACACAGGAGTTTACCATATATCTACCTTTTGTAAATGAATTTAGTGATCAAATTTAATGCTTCATTTTCTGATTAGTAGGTTGGCCTATGTTTGAGGGGTGTCGTTATTGTTTTTGAGCAGTTTTTTCCCCAGCCTCTCAATTACAGTATGCCCTGCCCCCATACCACCCCTCCATCTTCCCCATTATTTCTCTTTGCATGGTTAGTCTTCTCACCTTGGCTCCTCTGCTTCTTTACAGGCTAAGTCACAGACTTAAGAGGGTTTCTCTAGTCTCTAGATAAACATTTCCTGATGTTTTTAGTAAGACTTCGGTTACATTATTTTAGCGATTGATTAGTAAATATTCATAACTGGGTGTGGTGACATATACTTGTAATCCCAGCACTTGATTGACTGAGGCAGGAGAAGTTCAAGACCAGCCTGGGTTACATAAGCAAGACCCTGTCTTGAAATATATGTGTGCGTGTGTGTGTGTGTGTGTGTGTGTGTGTGTGTGTGTGCACTATTGAGAAAGAGAAACACAAAGAATAGAGAAAATTTGACATCCCTGGTTTTTTGATAGTTTTATTACTTTATAGAAACATGGAAATCGCCAGGCATGATGGTACATGCCTTTAATCCCAGTACTCAGGAGGCAGAGGCAGGCAGATTACTGTGAGATCAAGGCCAGCCTGCTCTACATAGCAAGTTCTAGGCCAGCTGGGTTACAGGGAGACCCTGTCTCAAAAAACAAAAAGAAAAAAAAGTAAAAATGAATGTTCAGATCCTGAACCAGTAAAAATGTTAAAAATACTGTTTGTTTTTGAGAATAAATTTTATGTGATTAAGTAATTATCATATCATAATGCAGCATTTGTTCTTCCAAAGCAGTCAAGTATGTTCTGCACTATTTTTTGCAGAAGGCAAAGGTTCTTTTGACCCTTTCAAATTGTATGCTGATTTTAATACCTTATACCTAAAGGGCCTTACAATTTCACTTGTGACCAGGGCTGTTCTTTCTGAAAATGCTTGTTATACTTCTCTCAATCTGCATTTCCCCCCACTTTTTCAAATGAATAATAATAGGACTCAACTGACTAAAACATGGGGTGGGGGGGGACCCAGCTGGTAATGTTTATTGCAGGTGCTATAATTAATGCTATATAATTAACAAGATGTTGCAATGAAAGTTTTCAATATTTCCTGACCAGCCTGCTCAAGTTAACCTTTCTATCAATGAAATAATTCTCTAATTTTTTTTTTTTTAATGTGTATGAGTATATTGCCTGCATGTATGTGAGCGCACCCGTGTTGGGCAATGCTGCAGAGGTCAGAAGAGGGCTTTGGATTCCCCTGGAACTGGAGTTAAGGATGGTAAGTAGCCTCCATGTGGATGCTGGGAATCGAACCTGGGTCCTCTGCAAGAATAGTCAGTGCTCTTAACCGCTGAGCCGTCTCTCCAGCCCCAATTTTCTAATTTTTTTAAATACAGGAAACAAATGTGTGTGTTCATTGGATAATGTTTGTTTGCCAACAACTCTGAAGTGAATCTTGGGAATGAAGTACGCCTTCATGAGCCTGGGCCTCTGCAGGCTCAAGGGGGCCCACACTCATTTTCCAGGGGTTCTAGTAGTTTCATAAATGGAACCCTGAAGGAGAGGCACTACTGTCTAAAGAAGGTCTGCCTTCCTTTCTACCGAAGTCGTAGAAATGGGCATTTCATACTCTGGCCAGGACCTTAGAAAAGGGTGTTCTCAGGGGATTTGTAAGTCTGCCTAGCACCTTGCCTATAGGCCCGTGGGCTGAGGCCTCTGCACCCCTGTTCCAGAGCTGCAGAGAGGGATGCCAACTGTCCCAGGATATTTTGGTGGTGAGGAAATGGGGGGACAAAGTCATATGCAGTCCAGGCTGTCCTATAACTGGAGATGTAGCTGAGGATGACCTTTGAACTCCTGATCCTCCTTCCTTCACTTCTCAAGGCACGAATCACCAGACCTCCTGTTCCAAGAATTTGAAAAATCCTCTTATATCAGACCCGTTTTGGGGATTTCAAAAGAGTGACAGTACTTAGTGGAATGATGGGGTGAGTTTCAGAAGGTTTCTTTCATACAATTATTAACTACTGTTTCCCTGAGCATAGCAGAGAAACTAAGGTTCAAAGATGTTGAGTGAGGGGGCTGGAGAGCTGGCTCAGCAGTTAAGAATGTGTATCTTCTCTGGGACCTGAGTGCCATGTGTATGTGTATGTGGGTATGTGCGTATAAGTGCAGGTGCCTTCAGAAGTCAGAGGCATCAGATCCTTCTGGAGTTGGAGTTACAGGCAGTTGTGAGCTGCCCAACATGGGTTCTAGGAACCAAACTTGGATCCTCTGGAAGAACAGTACATGCTCTTAGCCACTGAGCTGTATCTCCAGCCCACAAAATAAATCTTTTTTTAAAAAGTGACTTGTCTAGCCAGGCATGTTGGGACACACCTTTAATCCCAGCACTTCGGAGGCAGGAGGCAGGCAGATCTCTGTGAGTTCAAGGCCAGCCTGGTCTACATAGTGAGTTCCCGGACAGCTGGGGCTACAGGGAGACCCTGTCTCAAAAAGACTCAAAAAAAAAAAATTGCTGTTATCTAGGAGCATGATGATTACTTTTTTGAAATTTACCTAGTAAGTGGGCTACTTAATCCTTTTAGAGTCTTAATTTTAGATGATTTTCTGGCTTAGATGATTTT